ATGAATTTAAATATTTTGTGGTTGCCTATGGATGCTTTAACAACAAATCCGGTCCTTCACTCTTCATTAATAAGAACAGTAATGTTATTGCCTTTTTTTGTATATGTTGATGATCTCCTTCTTACAGGAAACAATGAAAATTTCTTAAGCACATTTAAGGATGCTCTAGCTGCAAAAGTTTCTTTCAAGGATCTTGGGAGCCCGAGCCAATTTCTCGGTGTCTAGCTCATCCCTATGTCCAAGGGAATTTTCATTTCTCAGCAATATTATATTCGAGACATCTTACAAAAAAGCACTTATGAATGATGCTAAATAGTAGGGACACTAATGTCTATTACTTGTTCACTTGGAACAAATGATGATTCTTCAAGTTGTGACTCTTCTTTATTTCATAGTATCATTGGATCTTTGCATTTCTTGTCTCTCATGAGACCGGATGTGACCTTTGTTCTCAACAAGTTATCTTATTACATGCAAGCACCATCAACAATTCACATGCAAGCTCTCAAGCGCATCTCCCGTTATCTAAAGCAGACCATTTTCCATGGTCTTCATCTTGTTGCAAGAAGAAAGCTTGAACTCACTGCATTTTGTGATGCAAATTGGGGTGGTGCCAGTGTTGATTGAAAGTCCACTGGTAAGAGGCGACCCACGCAAGGGCTTTAGGCCTAACAAATTTTGGCTATAAAAAGGCCTCAAAATTTTTAAATTTTTCATAAATATTTCAAATGACATATTTTGTACACAAAATCTCATTATTGAGTTGGTAGAAGAGAGACATCTTGTCTTTCAGGTCTTTGGTTCAACTCATGGTTTGAAATAGGCACCTCGAGCTTGGTATCATGAATTTAAATCCTCTGTGATTGCCTATGGATTCTTTAACAACAAATCCGATCCTTTGAAGGTCTCATTTAAAAAAAAAATTTAAGCCTCTAAGCGGGTTCGACCGACCCTGCTAATGCAATTTTATGGTCATGCAAGAAACAATCCACAATTGCGAGATCTTCCACTAAAGCATAATACTGCACAATTGGAACCACCAAATGTGAACTTTTATGGCTACAATAATTGCTCATGGAGCTTGGCATTAAACTAACCAATCCACCAAACATATTTTCAAATAATTTTGGTGCTACCTACTTTTGGGTAAATCCAGTTTTCCATTCACGAATGAAGTACTTATTCATTGACTATCACTTTGTTCTTGACATTATTGTCAAAGGTGAACTCAAAGTATCTCATTTCCCTTCAATTCACCAAAACTCGTAGACTTGCTCATAAAGTCTCTTTCAAAATCACATCATGAATTCCTTGTCACCAAGAGTGGCGTCATTGGCCACCCCTCCATCTCGTGGGAACGTATTGGCATATCAAGTGTTGATCCATAGTTATTGCCTCAGTTATTATAAAATCATTTGTCATTATATCGATGATATGTCTCTTTATTGTCTCATTACTCCTTGTTATTATGTTGCCTTTTTATTCACCCATTTTAATTACTAATAACTAACCAACTTACTATATATGTATATGTTGTAAAATTGTACAAAATAGAATTGGAATATATACCATTCTTATTATTTTATAGTCTCAACACCATGATACGAGAAAAATGGTCAGTATTAATTATCGTCATGTGTCAAATAACGATGATAGACGTGTTCAGTTCATCAACATAAAATTTAAAGTAACATTGATGTAAGAACCATGATCGAGTTAGATGCTAGCTTGGAAAGATCCATTCGTGTTATCTATTCAAGTCTTATTCCTCACAAAACATTTGATAAATCATGGTGTGTATGATTGAGCCCAATGAAAAAAATAACTAATTTGTTCAATATATAATTTTTATTTTATTTAATTGATATTTTTTAATTACTCACTATTTAATTTCAGTGTTTATTATGTTTATTATGTTTACTAGCGTCCAAACGGACACCGTGTCCGTTTGTCCGCTTTTGTTAATACGCGCACAGGTCAATATATAAATTAATATTTTTTGGTGTAAATTTAGTAATAACCTCTCTGTCTCTCACCCAATTGAATAAAAAATAAAAATAAAATATAAAGCAATTTTAATTAAAATGGAATTTCGGTTAAACCTAAATTGTAAAACATTTGTAATCTATGGTAAATATGAGTAACCCAATAAAAAATATCAGATCAATTATTACACATAAGAAAAAATAAATAATTGTATATATAATGGTTAAAATAAGAATTATTGAAATAAAGTATGATCACAATTATATTAAGAAAACAATAACTATTATATATTGTTGCATAAATTTTGAAGAATATGCAATGAATAAAAATGAGAGCCATACATCTTGAGAAGAGAAAAAAGATAAAATATGTAAACTTCTTTCCACTTTGAACAATCGGCAAGTTTTATGCTCTTTGAGTAATGAAGTTACCGCAAATGTGAACAAATTTGTTCGTTTTAATCTCTGAAGTTGTGCATATGTGTGTTTTAATAAAGTTTTTTTTTTAAATTTGTTCAATTTCTAAAATGAAAATATTCACAAATATTAAAATTTAACTACTTCTTCTATACAACAAGTACAACAAAAAAACACATGTTAGTATAATAAAAAAAACCTTTAAAAGGACTAACTATTTACTCCCTCATGTATTTGCGGGAATCTTTCTTAAACCACCATAAAAAAATAAAGATATACATATATATATATATATATATATATATATATATATATATATATATATATATATATATATATATATATATATAATTATATTTGAATACCATGAATATTAATTAAAACATTAATATTATATTAATTAAAATTTTTGATTTCTACCACATGCAGCAAAAATTCATTATCTGGCAATGAAAAGAAAAGAAAAAGATTTTCTCAAATTGTTTTTACAAGGTGATTGACAAAAATTGTTATTGTCATAGATAATTGAAAGATTTGTTTACAAAAACTCTATTGAGAAAAAAAAGTTGATTGAATATTGACTGTGTCATTGAAAAAAAAGAGTTTAATTGGTATGTACTGACAGTATAAGTTCAAAAAGAAGTTATACTGTTAGAAGTTTGGATTTAGATCCTTTTATTTTTTATATATCCTGTCATCTCTCATGTTTCTAATCTAACGATTCATAATTTATAATGAATTTTTTCTCCTATTAAATGACTTTTTTATATATCAATTTCTCTCTCTTACTAAATGACTTTTTTTATTTAATTATTCATTATAAATTCTGAACCGTTAGATTAAAAACATGAAAGATGAAATGATATATAAAAAAGGAGAGAATACAAATCCCAGAAGTTTACTCATAGTTAATGGAAGTTATAGGTGTGAGATTTTTTTTGGTAAGAGATGAAAGTTACTTTTTCAATTGGTAACTAACGAAAGTTATTAATCACTCAAGTTTTCAAATTAAATTATATTTTTATTGATAAAAAAAATGAAGGGTAATTTTGTAACAAAAATAAGCCACACCAAAAATTTGTATCCCATTTATATATACTTATAAATTATCAATGAATTTCATCTAATTTAAGGTAGTGTTTGTATTAAAAAAAGAGGGATTTAAAATGCTATATCTAAAAACATATTTCTCTGATTACCAAAATTTGAATTCTTAAATTTTGATGCTTCAAAAACATATTTTGAATTCTAAAATCGGAAAGATATTTTTACATTAAATTAAATGTGCATTAGAATGTGATAATGAGGTTCCGGAGTCATTATCAAACATTAAATGTGCATTAGGATGCAATAAGTGTTTCATATCAGACATATACTAAATTTGTCCAAAAAAAAATCAAAATAAATAAACTTTGCTGGCTTTGTTGAATTTTCAACTCATATATAGTATATTCCAATAATTAGAAAATTTCAATCGCATTCCATTTAAATTCAAAGATTATTTTAAACATATAAGCGAACAGTGTGACATGTTTTCAACTGAGTCATCTCAAGAAATTTCTTGCAACATGCTCATGGGAACTCTTCAATTAAGGAACTTCCTAAATCATTAACCTACATTTTATAAAAATCAATATATTATTTTCTACAACGGATAACTATAATTATAGAAATATTTATTATAATTTTTACACAATTTATATTGATGCAGGCTAAGGAAGATTAAATCAGGTGATTAGAAGTTGTCATACTCGTGGGGCTCAGTTCAGACATCTTCTGTAGATTAGTATTATTTGAAACTTAAAATCTGTCTGGTGAGTAAATTCAAAAGTGAGTGCATGAATGTGGAAATAGTAGAAAGTTGAATGTTATTATTGCTTGAATTATTTGTGTTTGAAATCACCCAACAATGGTCAATTTCTTAACAAGCAAGCACGAGGAATCTTCCATTCTGCCACCTTGCTTAGCAAGATACGGACTTTTCCATGGAAAAAATTGTCTTATAAACTCCCACTATAAATTCAACACTCTGCCATGATTAGTTATACCTCCAAAAATCTTAGGCTATAACTGATAATTGAAAGTAATTTCATCCTTCAATATGATCAAACTAGGAGTGTTTGTTTGTTCCTTGATTTGCTTTGTGGAGTCCATAGCTCAGTTTTTTTATGCTTCTCAATCACACATCAGTTCAGCATCCAAAGAAACTATACTGAACTTGAAGAAAGAAGATGCATCAACCATTGCTAATGCTGCAGCACAAAAGCACTTTCGACAAATCCAACACACATGCTAATAGGGTGTTATTTAATTAACAGTTTTGGGGGTAATATATTATATATGGTATTTAGGAATCAGTTCTTATCTTGTTAGATTTTTGAATGTTTTTTGTGGGAATTTTCTTTAAGTTTGGCAATTGTATTTCTGTTTTTGGGGACTTTTGGTGAGTATACAAAAAAACCAGTACAAAATGGTGTTGATTATTTGATCTTAATTACTATAATAGTGGATTTTTAGAACATTAATAAGATCAAGTATTATTGCCCTTATTTATAGATTATAGGAAATTACAAGGAGGCCACATTATTATATGATTGCCTAATGTGTTTCGCGGACTAAATACAGCTTCTGATCATCCTTAATCATGCCCACATCAGTAATTTTACCAGCATCTTCGGATAAAATACAAGAGTCATTAGAAAATCCTATCTGATCTGCTGCTGTTGTGATTAGCTCTTCAATGGTGTGTGGAACCCATAATACTATACCATTTTTTTTATAATCTTTTGGACCCCATGGGTGGAAAGGAAATACTGTGCACTTCTTTGGATGTACCTTATCTGGAAAAATGGAAGATACATTTAATATTTGAGTTTGCAGTAGCATGTGATTAAGACATAATCTCTCTAAATTGTTACATAGCGTATTCTATTGAACTACTTACAACCTCTTAAGCTAAAAGAAGGCTAACACAACGTATCAGTACCTGTAATTTCTTGGGAAAAAGGGAACTCTGTCAACTCAGCAGATTTTGCAACTTCCAGCATCTTTATCAGATTCTTATTTCCACTGGTCCGAGCTTCATCAAGCGGAGTATTTCCCCATCTGTTTTTAATGGAGTGAAAAAGAACAACAAGTTTTGGTTATGCTTAATGTAAGTAACAATGAAAAGGAAAGAAACATCAATGAACATTACCTGTCTTTAGTAAAAACACTGGCTCCAGCTTCTAATAGCAACTTTGCCATGAAGATTAAACCAATGGATGCAGCAACATGTAGAGGGGTTCGACCGTCGTAATCTTTCAAATTAGGATCCAGTCCATTAGATAAAAGCCTTTTAACATATTCCGGATCCCCTCTTGCAACTGTTGTGCATAAAAAACTACCATTATCATCTATCTTCAAAGAGGCCCCTTCTCTAACAAGTAAAGAAGCAATCCGATCGTGTCCATTCTTAACTGCTTCAAATAGTGGTGTGTTCCCGAAGTTATCTATGGAAGTACCACATTAGTGATGTTTGCATCATCTTAAATTTAAGTTTGATCCTCGAGGAATATCTAAATCACACAATTACCTTTGATGTTGATGTCTACACCTTCATGAATAAGGTAAAGTGTGATATCTTCATATCCTCTGCATGCCGCAAGATGCTATTGGAAAAACAACAAAGGTTCTTATCAGGCAAGCATTTTTATAACAGCATTTGTAAGTGGCAGTTAATAAACTATCACACCATAGATGAAAAGGAAGAAATTGATTGATAACATGACATCATAATACAAAGTTTCAAGCTCCTTACCAGAGGTGTTCTTCCATCATAATCTGTCTTCTTAGGATCAGCTCCAGCTCGAATAAAACTTTTTAACTGATACATATCACCATCAAAGGCTGATCTATTGACCTTCAAAGCAAGTTCAAATTCTAGCTTTCCAATATGAAATGTGATGTCTGACTCCAATTGCTTACCTCTAATAGACTCTTTTCCCTATTAAAACATGAGATATTTAACTGTCTCATGAAAAGAATAATTAAATTGTATAATCCTAAAATGAATAACTTGGTACATGCATGCCATGTTCAACTAGAGTCTAGAGAGTAGCATAATACATTTTCAACTCATTTCTGAGGCTCTATTAAGGGAAAATGATGTCAAAACTAATATAAATGACACGATTACCTCTACAAGGTTGTCTAATAATTTCTTCCCATCATTAAAGTATATATCTAGGACATTTGAAAATGATTGTTTATCAAGCCGCAGGACCCGGCACAACTCACAAACACGGACAGTATATGGCTGAGGGATGTTGCAAAGAATTGATATTTCTCCAAATGAACTGTTGTACTCTAAAAGTGAAACAGTTTCTTCGGACCCATCTTCAGCTATGCCTACTTCCTCCTGCATTGAAACAATTTTGGACATTCAATAAACGTAAATTGAAATCCGTCTTCTGTTGAAATTTTTCAAAGAATTAGTCCTAAAATTCATACTACTCTTGTTTCCTCTTTGATGACCTACTGAAGATATGAAGCACAGCAGTACCGGGTACTTATATAAAAAAGCAACAAAGAATAATGAGATGAAAAAGAGTACCACGAGTACTATATGCATACCAGTACCGTGTACTTAACTATTTTTGAAGTATCCATGCTTCTGAGATGAATACCAATATGTCTCTATGACTAAAAATTTCAGAAACTTGGAAGATGAGAAAAGATAGAAATTGCAGAAGTGGTTCTGGAAATATAAAATCTTACCAGCACACCATCACAGACAAAATATAGTTGATCTACAACGTTTCCTTGTTGTAATATAACTTCTCCAGGAAGAAAGAATTCCTCGTGGAGCCTAGTAACCTGAGAGATAAAGGAACGTAAAATATTATCACTTGACATTACTCGTGCAGGAAATGATAACGGACAAGAAACTCTCATTAAGCAAAGGTGCCACTAATCTTATTCAATCTACAGAAAAAAACCATACTAGCAAGTTTTTTTTTCTAACTACAAAGTTCGACCTTGAAACTAAAAGTGGCAATATCAATATAAATTGGAATTATCAATATCGGGAGCTTTTGGCATTATTCACCAAAAATGCAGATAATACAAATGTAATTTTGTAATGATATATGCTAGGCAATGGGGAAAACATTACTTACAATCTGATTGATGAATTCTGAAGAGCAACCTCTAAAAAGGGGAATGTTTTCAATGTATGGCAAATACAACGATTGGGATATCTGCAAAAAGTAATTAGTCTGTCACACAAAAACCTACAAAACAAATGCTTTCATGTAAAATGTGAAGAGAAGATGGCCTACAAGTTTAATCTATCACAATTTCCAATTGAATAGTGAATATCAAGAAAGTACTCTACTGTAAAAAAATCTCACAGTATAATATGTCAATCCATTAGAACCTAAAATGTTATCTTACCAACGTTGAGAAAAGCTTCAATAGGAATTTAATGTAGTGATAAATCATTTGAGAGTCTTTAACTGAAATTTGTTTTATACATGAATACTTAGCAAATTCTATACTTTCAAATAGTATCATTTATTGCATATTTATCATGCATTCATCACAAATTTGAAACTTAAAGAGATAAAACATAGGGAAATTCCACAAATAAACCCAACAAAACTTGATTCCAATAAACAAATATCAACAAGATTTGAAAGCATGTGGCAATGCAAGATATTGTGGAAGGTGAAATAAATAGGAACAATGACAACAATGATTTCCGTAACTAACCATAAATGATGTTCAAAGACCTCTTCTTTCTCTTATTACCTTAGATCGAATAGAAATAGGAATGTCGTGAAGGACAGCAGCGTCAGTGTAGCTGCTCTCAAACTGCAAGCGCACGTGACCCTTAATTTGTTCACGGATATCCCTGCCAAGTTGATTTCTATTCATATATTTCATCAAATCTCTCATCCTGTCCCTAAACTTTTCAGTCTTTGATCCCTTGACTATCAAAGCTGTCATGTTACCAATCAAATAAGCACCGAGAACCATGTCCAATGAAGCATAAACCATTACGAATATCATCTCCCTCAGATTTACAGCATGTATATCACCATAGCCTGTGGAAGAAAATAAATTTGCAAACATGACTCATTCAAAATAACTTTCTAAGAGAGATAAGATAGTATACAATTTGGACACTAAAATTATTGAGATCAATGCAAATAATACATGGATCTAGGAACCTATAGAAGAGTTCTGATAACTGTCAGTTCATTCATTTAACCTAGAAAACCTTCAGCAGATGGAGACAAGGTAACAGCAGCTGTGTTAGATATGAACAAAAGTTCACATTTCAATTTGTGCTGATATGGCTCACAAAGGCCAGTAATTTCATAAAGTTCTACAATTAGCAACTAGTTGCTAGCACACCCTTCTTCTTTTATCTAGAGTGACCAGCTATATAAAAGCTGGAAGCAGGCAAACTACATAGGCTTGGTGGAGATGACTAATGCTAGAAAACATGAAAATCATTCTGCATTGTGAATTAAAATTTAAAGAAAGAAACCTACCGACAGTAGTCATCGAAACAATAGCAAAATACAATGATGTCGTGTAGCGCTTCCAAAAATCAACTTCTCTGAACTTTGAATAACTATAGTCACCCATTTTCAAACTTCCTATCCATGTGTAACCCTCTTGTGATTCAGGTAGTGTAGTAGCCAAATAGTAGAAAATACAGGCTGCTGTGTGGGTGCAATAGAGCTCAACAATTAAAAGTTTCACAATCCGAGCAATAATGTAATTGAAACGTATGTCTTTTTCCAAACTCATGAGAAATCGCACGACTATCTGCGCCCTAAATAATCTGATCCACAATAGGTACCTCACTTCCTCTCTCGATCCACAAGCCTGTTCATTAAAGGTTATCTTGGTGGTTAGAGCAAGATTCAAGAACTGAAAACTTTCAATAATAAAGATCTTGCTGCAAAACCAGAAGTCATAACAAAAGCCTTTAACATGTTTGTATAACAAGTGCCATTCTTCGTCTTCTCAGGCCATGTCTCAAAACCATACAGCCATCATTATCCTTAACTTGTGTTTAACTAAATAAGTTGCAGAGAGTCTCACAAGTACAAAGTCCTGCCTTTTAGTATCAGGTTTTGTAACTTGTGCAACATGATGCTGTAATCAACATGACTAATGAATAATATACATTAAGTCTGTAAATTTGTGAACCAACGAGGCATTCTATTTAAGTCTGTAAATTTGTGAACCAACGAGGCATTCTATTAATGTAATTAACTAGCATGATGCTTAAGTACGAAACAGAAGCACTAGAAAAGAACCAAGACACATGTGCTGTTGCTATAGGGCATAAACGAAATGCTCTAAATGTTCCATCACCCCAACATAAAAATGTTATTTGTATTTCAATTTCAAGTATTGGGATAATTTATCAAGATATTGAGCAATTTATCTCTTTTCCCTAATTAACCAATAGTTGCCCAGTTGAGTAGACATTTCACTCAACTAGGTATACATGAATATTATAATGATTTAATCAAATCCCAATAAAACCTCCATGCTCCATGAAGAGTTAAAGAAAAAGTAAAATGATGATAAAGGTTCATCTAGTTCTGGCAATTGACTATTTATTTTGCAAATTAAAAAAAAAAGGCTAAATGCACATTCCCCCGTTGAATTGAAGAAAATAGGTATAAGTTATTGTATTTTATTCATCGACCTCAAGTTGGTTTATATAATCAAGATATATTTATTATACTTGATTCTCTTCTTAATGAAAAGAGTATTAAATAAAACAATAAAATCGGAAATAAAATATTTTCAACACTTTCTCTTAAATTAGTGCATAGATATCTATCCTGTCAACTTGTCTATCAAATGCTCAAAGGTAGGTGTTGCCAAACTTTTGGTCAAGATATCTGTAGTTTGCTGACTTGAAGTCATGAAAGGTAGACATATGATTTCACCATCTAACTTCTACTTTATGAAATGTCGATCAATTTTAATATGCTTGATTCTGTTATGTTAAACTGGGTTATGAGCTATGTTAATAGCAACTTTACTGTTAGAGTACAATTTCAACAGAAACTCAATTTTCATCTTAAATTCTTCTAGGACTCTAAGGATCCATAATCCATCACAAATACCTTGAGACATAACTCTAAACTCGGGTTCTGCACTACTCCTTGCCACAACTCCTCTTGTTCTTGCTCCTCCATGTCACAAGATTATCCCAAATATAGGTATAATATTCAGAGGTTGATCTTCTATCTGTAACTGAACCTGCTCAATCAACATCGGTGAAGATAGACACATTTCTTTCACTAGTCTTCTTAAAAAATAAGTCTTTTCAAGATTTCCCTTCAAATATCTCAGTATCCTATAAACTGCCTCAAGATGTACCTCGAAAGGAGAATGCATAAACTAAATTACTACACTAACTGAGAAGCAATATCAGTTCGGGTATGTGACAAATAAATCAATTTCCTTAACCAATCTCTAATATTTTCCAGTATCAACAGAAACATTACCTTCTCCCAAAAGTTTAACATTAGGATCTATAGGGGTATCTGCAGGACGACATCCGCTCATTCCTATTTCTTTCAATAAGTCTAGAATGTATTTCTGCTGTGAAACCACCATATCTTTCTTTGATCGAGTAATCTCCATACCTAGAAAATATCTCATTAATCCCAAATCCTTGATTTCAAACTCTACTGCCAATTTCTCTTTTACTCTTGCCATTTTCATTGTATCGTCTCCAATAAAGACAATATCATCAACATAAACAATCAGGGCAACAACTTTTCCATCGTAGGAGACTTTGTGAACAAGGTGTGATCAGTCTGTTCTTGGATGTACCCTTATTTCTTCATGGACTGAGTGAATTTTTCAAACCAAGCTTTAAGGGACTGCTTTAATCTATACAAAGACTTATTAAGTTTGCATATATTTGATCCAAATTTGTTTTCAAATCTAGGAGTAATGTCCATATATACTTCTTCTTCTAGATTACCATTAGGAAAGACATTCTTAACATCTAACTGATGTAGGGGCCAATCCAGATTAGCAGCAAGAGCAAATATCTCTGAGTAGTCTATACTATAGGTCTAAGTAAAGCCTTTAGTCACCAAGCGAGCCTTGTACCTTTCAATTGACACATTTGAATTATACTTCGTACTAAACACCCATTTGCATCCAACTGTCTTCTTGCCATTTAATATTGTCGTAACACTCTAAATTTTGTTCTTTTCAAGAGCTTTCATCTCCTCAAGTACAACTTCCCTCCACGTTGGAATTTCTAGAGCAACCTGTACACTTTTTGGAAATTCTACACTAGACAATTTTGATGTGAAGGCAGACATATATGAAGACAAATTTGAATATGATATAAAATTAGACATGGGGTGTTTAGTGCAATATCTAACAAGTTTTCTAATAGCAACAAGAACATTTATATCAGGATACAAAATATAACTCTCAGAAACAGAGATAAACTTACCCTTTCTTTTGTTAGGAATTTAATCATTCCCCGGTTCAGATTCTTGGCAGTGTTGAGATGTGGACACATCCCTTCCTTTATGGTGTTTTTTTCACAAAAAACCTTCCCTTTCTAAGTCCTGTTTACTAACTCAAATATGTTTTTTGAAATGACTCATTATTTTGTGGCATTTCAATTAGATCATCATCGTTTTCAGAATTCTCATTATTTTCTACAACAGAAAATGTAGGTTCGGATTCACAAAGTTTCTTACTCATAACAGGGGTAGGATCAGATAAAGAATCATGGCCATTTTCTGTTGACGTAGATGTAAAAGTCTCAAAATTTTACGGTACAGACAAAAATAAATTATTTAAAAAACTCATGTCCTCAATTTGAAATGAATCTTCCTTTATATCCCCTCTTGAAGATGAGTGTCATAAAAGAAAGATTTATTTTCAAAGAATGTAACATCCATAGTAACAAACATTTTCTTGTTTTTTGGATCAAAACATTTATATCCTTTTTGATTTGGGGAGTTTCTAAAAAAGACACATTTTATAGCACGTGACTCAGGTTTTTCAACATTTTTATGTTCATTAGCAAAGGTTGTGCAACCAAAGATTTTTAAAGTCAAGTTGAAACACGAATACTAGGAAAACATTATTTGAAGACATTAATTGGAGTTCGAAAATTGAAAATTTTGGAGAGCATTTTGTTAATTAAATACACAAATGTTAAAACAGCTTCGTCCCACAAATAGTTTGGTATTTTGTTTAAAAAAATAGAGCTTTAGCAACATCCAATAAACTTCTATTTTTCCTTTTGACAACTCTATTTTGTTGAGGAGTATTAGGAAATGAACTTTCATGTACAATCACAATTTTTAGAAAAAAATCATCTAGCATGTTGGAAAATATTTTATTTTCATATTTAATTGTTTACGTTTATTGTCATTTATTTTCTTTTATTCTCCATTAAGGTGAGAATTAACTATTTTTATTGTATTCTCATTATATAAACCAGTCTTTGGCTGAGGAATAAAATTACAATAGCTTTTATCTATTTCTTCCAATTGGTATCAGAGCTCTCTGGGTTAGGGTTACCGTAAAGCTTTCTGTTCGACCCGTTTTTTCACCCGATCCGATTCACGCACCCGTTTAATCTCTTATGGCGAATAACAATGGCGGTGGCCGCGTAGATGGCGAACGAGAGGAACCGTCAGTGGTCACAAACAGTGGCAATAATGAAAACATTAACATTGTTTTTGCCAGTAATAACGGCAACAATGGAAACAGGAACATTGTCTTTGGTGATAGTTATTTCAACATAGGCGGTAATGATCAAGAGGGTTCCTCATACTCCCTCAAGGTCAATATCCCTAAACTGAATGAGAATAACTATAATGAATGGGCTCAAACCGTTCGGTTGGTGTTGGATAGCAAAGGAAAACTTGGTTTCTTAACAGGAGCAGTAGTTGAACCGGTATCAGGAGATCCTCGTTACAAACAATGGGAATCTGAAAACTCTTTGATTATTGTGTGACTGATAAGCTCCATGGAAACTGGACTAGGTAAGCCTTACATGTTTTTGTCTTCTGCAAGGGATTTGTGGAAAGATGTTAAGGAAACATACTCTGATATTCAAAACTCCTCCCAAATATTTGGTTTAAAATCAAAGTTATGGCATGTGAAACAAGAAGACAGAAGTGTAACCATTTATTACAATGAACTGTTGACACTATGGCAAGAGTTGGATCTTTGTTATGATGACAATTGGAGGTGTACATAAGACAATTTTTTGTTTCTCAAAAGGCAAGAAAATGATCGAGTATTCATGTTTCTCGTTGGGCTCAATAAAGACCTTGATGAGGTAAGAGGTAGAGTTTTAGGAAAAATACCATTGCCAACTCTTCGTGAAACTTTTACATAAATAAGAAGGGAGGAGGCACGACAAGGAATTATGATGGGCAAGACATCACGAAACTCTAAATCTGAAGGTTCAACTCTGACTACTAGGAACCTTGACAAGGGAAGAAGGTCAGATAAAGTTCCTTGGTGTGATCACTGCAAGCGCGAATGACATACACGTGAAACCTGTTGGAACTCGGGGAAGATGATTGGCAGTGCTAAAGAGAGTGAAGGACTCTACTACCTTGACATTGGATCTGCATCACAACTACCTTTAACAATAAGTTCATGCTTTGAGTCTTTTTCTATTTTGAATAATAAAGATGACAACATTATGGTATGGTATTTAAGATTAGGTCATCCTAGTTTTCGTTATTTAAAACACTTGTTTCCTAAGTTATTTCACAATAAGAATT